ACTCAATTCCAAAGGAAACGGAAAATTTGGATAATGGCTCAAATTTCACACTATGTTCACACTCATAATTGTTACCAGCTATTATTCTTTGTAGAAATTGACACTTTTCAGGCCTAAGGCTTTCTCAAAATAGACGCATTCACCCGATCCAAAGCTGAGACAGTGGCTCATGTCCTTCACACTTGCCTCATTACCTGTTCTCGTCTCCACTCGCCCAATCGCAGACTCACGCCTGCCAACGGTTTCCTCCAGCCTCCTCGCCTGACCTGGGCATGGCCGAGATCCAGCCTGGCACCGGCGTTCGAAGCCCCAGATCGTCGTCGGCGCGATCGCAGGCGATGAGCGGAGCATCAATCGCCGTCTGGCTGGGCAAACTGACCAGCCTCCAGACGACATCCGGCCTCGTCCGAGAGACGCCCGGCAGTGCCATCTGCTCTGCCGGCGTCGCGGGTGCATCGCGGCTCGGCCTTGACTCCGCGACGAAGTACAAGCTCGAGCCCGGCTCCGAGGGCAAACGGTGCGCCGGCGGAGATGCCGACCACACCGAACCCCGCTCGGCAGATGGCCAAGGCCCCAATGCCTGGTGGTGGCGTCGCCAGTCTCGCCGCAGCAGTTTTCAGCAGATTCCCTGCCACCAGAGGACCGTCAGTCTTGTGGATCCGCCCGGCTTCTCCGGCAACCGAGGCCCCGACGACTTGGCTTCATTTGAACTGGACTCGGACACCGCCAGCGCCAGCGCCAATTCGGGCTGCGTTTCGGCCCACGAAACCGTCTTCCCAGCATTCGTTGCCGGCAACGCGGCAGGACGCGAGCCCGAAGGCACAACGAAAGGCAGACACGGCGGTCTCTGGAGCAATACAAAGCAAGTGGAGACTTTGCAGGTGGCATTTGTTAACAAGAGTGAAAAAGACGAATACCGACTATCAGGACAGTCTTAATGGTTGGCCTCTTCTACAAAACCACATTCATTTTTCGTCTTACAAGTGGGTTAGGCAGGTCTTCCAGTCATTCATCGTCCTAAACGAAGTATTGTAGTCTCGAAAATCTACTTATAAAACGAAAAATATTAATGTAGTCGAATTATTCTAGCAAATGCAAAATGCAAATAAATGCGATATGGAAAGGGCCTGTCTTTCACCGAAATTTACATCTCGTGTGGGATCCAGTGGGGGGGGCAATGGCAGTGTGGGATAAGGAATAACATGTTAATGCACAAATCGGGTTCAAGCCCCGCTGGAGTGCAGCTGAGGTTGAAACTGCAGTCCACTCCTGTCTAGACGAGAATACTTATTGAGAGGCAAGACAACGAGGATTCAATGAAAGCGTGAGGCCTACCGATACGATTGTGTGAAAATTGAACTACCAGCATTTCGTCCCCCTAAACGAAATATGGTAAATACAGTTGCCAAACCACATCTCCCTTCCACTTGAGGTATGCTGACGCCAATCCAGTTGGCACCTAATTGATAACATAGCATTGATATAATTGTCAGCCAGGATCGTGTTGTCTGGAGGAGACGCATTTGCCTCTAAACACCCCAGTCCATTGTTCGAGCACCCCAGAGGGTGAAGAGGAGATCAAAGGTGAGGGGCGAAACGGAGGACTTCCATAGTTGTGTACAGCCCTTTGGATTAAATGGACAAGTGCAAAAGAAAAAATTATCTTTAAACCTACATACACACACATTAATACATACACACACATTAATACATACACACACATT